AACCACCCATTTGTTAAGCTAAACAACCACAAGGAAAGAATGCTACATGTGATGGATCACAATGCTTCTTAGCAGGGTATAAAAGAGCGAGTGGGACAGAAAGTCTTCCAAACTGTTCACACACATCTCCTTGCACACCCACCCAGAACCTCCATCCTCCGACACCATGGTCAACTCCTGCTGTGGCTGCACCTGCTACCAGCCCTGCTGCTGCCAGCCCAGCTGCTGCCAGACCACCTGCTGCCGCCCCAGCTGCTGTGTGTCCAACTGCTGCAGGCCTTGCTGCTGCCAGCCCTGCTGCTGCCAGCCAAGCTGCTGCCAGACCACCTGCTGCAGGACCACCTGCTGCCGCCCCAGCTGCTGCACTGATTCCTGCTGCTGAGCACTCTCCTTCCTTCTCCTGCCAACATCGGAGGCCAACTGTAAACCTCTATTCCCACTGGCATTGTATAAGCCACCAAATACTGAGCTTTTTCTCCCATCCTTATTAGCTTCTCTTCAAAATGAACTCAAGTTGGAATTTTCCTTGAAATTGGTCAACTATCTTGTTACTTTCTCAAATGCTATTATTCCTACATCCTCAATAAATGTGAATACATGCAAATATAAAAACATTATGTTGCATTTGTCTCCTTCTTCAATTGTTGATCAAATATGTAGTTCATCTCCAAACCAAAAAAAATCTCATGGCAGGGCATTCTGGCCGTGGCAGCTCTTGTCTCTTCTATTGCTCTCTCACTAGGACTCCTAGAACTCTCTGCTGCAGACAACTTCCTCTATTGAGGATAAAGTCCTAAGCAGGAGCTAAGGTCCAGGGGGCAGAGCTCCAATAGTGACGGACAGGAGCTGGTGAGACCCTGTCCTGCTCACCTCCCATTCAGTGCCTGTGTGTCCACCTGTCCAGTGTTCCACAAAGAATGTAATCCAGCCACTCCAGGAGAATTCTTCATATGTTATTCATTGGTAATTTGGTGTGCCCTTATTTTCAAATAGTTTCCAATTTTCCTACATCTTGCCATGATATCATTCTTCAATTAAACTACTTACTTCAATCATTGAGTTCTGGCTATGACCAGAGTACACACAATCGAATCTCACATCTTCCTCACCTAACTGTTCTTGACTTTCATACATATTCAAATGATGTGGATGGGGGTCATTATCTAGGCATAAGTGGTTGGGTTCTATGCTTACTAAAGTGAGAAGTCTTCTGAATATTTTGATGCGGAATATTTCAGATGGTTGCCCAATTGTTCTTAGGTCAATAGTCTTTACTCTTTCATAACTATTGCTGTTTAGCCATTGGTGCAAATTAATTGTGTACATAGTAAGTTTTCTTTAGACATTATCATACATGTATATGAGGTTTTGTGGCCTTAGTTTCCTTGATTTGTGCTTGTGATTACCCAAGCTAATAGCTCCCAATTGATTACTTCATTCTCTAAAAGGCCTCTGTTTACTTTCTTCTTTAATAAATTCAACATAAGAGAAAAAATAATTAAAACTACTTTCTCTGAGTGTATCATATTTCACTCAATATAGTTATTGATGCCATGAATTTTTTTACAATTCATGACATCATACTTGTAAATGTTTCAATAATACTCCATTGAGAATATATACCACATTCTCTCATTTTTTCATCATTGATAGGCCCACAGGATGACTTGGCTCTTATGAATGGTCCTGCAATCAATACAAGCAACACAAATATATTCATGTATATATGCATATATACATATATATATAAATATGTGTGTGATGTGCATATGTGTGTGACAGAAAGACTTCCAAATATTTCAACCACATCTCCTTGCACACCCACCGAGAACCTCCATTCTCTGACACAAGGTCAACTCTGCTGTGGCTACAACTACATACACACACACACACACACACACACACACACACACACACACACATATATATATTCAGGTGCTTTAACTGGATTATTTAATTGTTCTATATTTAATGAACCTCTTTAATTATTAATACAAGAGATGAACAAATTCACATTCCCACCAATAGTGTATGGCATCTCCTTTCTTTCCCAGGGTCATCACTTACTCTGTGATTTATCTTAATGGCAGTCATTCTGACTGTGGGGAAGGGAATCTCAATGTAGTTTTGATTTAATAATCTCTGATAGTATAGTATTTTGACCAATTTCTATATAATGTTAGCCATAGTGTTTGTTTAATGTCTATTCGGTTCATTGAGCAATTTCATGGTTTGGAATATATATATATATTTGTGCCAGAGAGTGAACACTGTTCCTCCTGTTTCCTAGGGTAATGTTCTTGGGGTCAAGTTTTCTCCATTCGGGTGTTCATTTTTCTGGCCACACTAGATAAAGCTAGTATCTTTTTCCAATATAGTAGCACTTCTGTAATGCACATGCTATTGAAACTTCTTGCCAAGGATAAGGATAGTATAGCTACCTAGCTAGTTGGATAAATTTCTGAGTCCTCCATTCTATTTCATTGCTCCATGTTTCTGTTTTAGGTGGTATGCATTTTATTTGTTTTGTTTGTTTTACCTTGCTAGGAAATTGTTGTACTAGCTGAGCCATCTCTCCAGGTGATCAGGATATTTTTGTTAAAAGAGCTAGATCATATATTTTTAAGTTTTATATGTTAATATTCCAAAAATAAATTCACCAGGAATAAAAAATAATTCCTATTCATAATTTCATGAATCCCCAAATAAATAACTAAAATAAACTTAATCAAAGGCCTCAAAAATCCATGTGATGAAACTCATAAATAACATGAGAAACTAAAGAAGACATCTACAGGTTGGAAATCTATACCATGTTCATGGATCAGCAAAATTAACAGATGAAAAAGGCCAGATGATGAAAAGCATCTCATTATATAATGCAATCCCCATCAATTTCAGTGACATTCTCCACAGAATTACATGAAGAAGCCCTTAAATGCGCAAGGAATCATTGAAGATCCTGAATAGCCAAAGCAACCTTAGGCAAATACCACAATGATTTATTGCTGTTTTCAATATCAATAAGTCTAGCTTTTGAGGAAAATTGCCTTGGTGTGAAAATGGGTACATTACATAAGGATGCATGCATCAGGGTTTCAGTGGAGAAGAGTCATTCTAGCAGGCAACCAACTGTATACCAAGTTCTCTGACTAACTGCCTTAGGAACTGTATTGTCTCTACATTGCTCTCCACTGAGAATGTGCTCTGCCCTTTCACCTGTGGGGAAAACTTCCTTTACTTTCTAAGGAAACCTGAAGCCTTTCTTAGGTCTTTCTAGTCTCCTCTGTCTGGCCTTACCTACTAAATACAGTAAAAAATCTCTTCACACAGGTCATATGATTTTTAAAAACTTCATGTTCTTCACCTTTACCAGCACCAACTTGTGAATAAAATATACAAATCAAACATATGACTAGAAATTTACTATGATAAAAAAAGTGCCTATCTGGGGCTGGGAAGTTGGCTCAGTGGTACAGTGCTTGTCTCGCATGCATGAGGCCCTGAGTTTGATTCCTCAGCACTGCATCAACAGAAAAAGCCAGAAGTAACCCTGTGGCTCACGTGGTAGAGTGTTAGCCTTGAGTTGAAGAGCTGAGGGACAGTGCCCAAGCCCAGAGTTCAGGCCCCATGACTGATGAAGAAAAAAAAAAGAGTGCAAATCATTTTTGTATTTAAATGCTGTTTATTAAGACATTTATTTGTGCCCCTACAAACATAACAACGTGTCTCCTTCTGCCTGTATTATGACATAAAAGAATTTCCTTCTATTAGAAGAACTAGTCATATAGCTAATTAAAAGGGCATTTTCATTTTTCATCATCTACCCTACAAACATGCTATAATAATAGTTCATTCTTCTGTCCTATCTTATTCCTTTTTGCTTTTCAGACTCTCTTTCTCTTTTTTGCCTCTTTTTATTTTTCACAACTGAAAAAACGATAATATAATAATCCTCTTGAACACTGAAGCAGGAATGTTTGGTTAGTTGACAGATTGTCAAAAGCTCAAAGAAGACAATAGAAAAATGTGACAGCTACCTTGTGCCAGCAGGTAAATATTGGAAAAGGACAGGTTTTCAGATGCTTTGTAAAAAAAAAAAAAAAAGCAGAAAGCTGGCTGAGGGTGTGGTACAGGTGGTAGAGCATTACTGAGCAAGTATGTGGTCCTCAGTTCACAGCACAATCCCCCAATACAAAAACCAAAAAATTCAAATAAAAACCACAAATGACACATAAACCTTATGTCAAAAATCGGAGACAAATTCAGGAAGAGCAGAGCTCTGCAGCTCAGTTTCTCACAAAAGGAACTAAAATAATTAGAGATTTGGTTCTGTGTAGAAAAAATATGAAGCAAAGATATATGCATGTTTTTAACTAAGCTTTTCACCCAGAGTTAGTTCTACTCTTCCCATAAAACATCTAGAAAATGGATCCTGACTCACAGTGGAGGAAGGAACATGTCCCCCTGGCCTTCCTGGCCCCATGCTGCTGGCCTCTCACATGCAAACCTTCCTCCCCACCTGACCTGATGAAGCACTCATTAGATTCTAGTGAGGCTTGAGCCTCCTGGGTCACCACACACAAATATAGGTCTATAACATTCTGGAATATCTAAGAGTTGATGGAATGTACCATGTGAAATGCTACTGAGACATATCATAAGGAGACACTGACTATCACGTGACTGCTCTTTGAGGAACGATACCAAGATGCATACACACACTTAGGAGATAGTTCTCCCTGAGCTAACTGACAGGGAAATTCCAACACACCAGAAAAGTGGTATCATGTTTTTTCTTCCTACTAGAAAACTTAATCAGGAATAGACAGTGTCCTAATCACCTGCTTGTTAAACTAAATAACCACAAGGAAAGAACACTACATGTGATCACACTGCTCCTTAACAGGGTATAAAAGAGCAAGTGGGACAGAGAGCCTTCCAAACTGTTCACACACATCTCCCTGCACACCCACCCAGAACCCCCATCCTCTGACACCATGGTCAACTCCTGCTGTGGCTGTACCTGCTGCCAGCCCTGCTGCTGCCAACCCTGCTGCTGTCAGCCCTGCTGCTGCCAACCCTGCTGCTGTCAGCCCTGCTGCTGCCCCAGCTGCTGCCAGACCACTTGCTGCAGGACCACCTGCTGCCAACCCAGCTGCTGCACTGATTCCTGCTGCTGAGCACTCTGTCCTGCACCCTCCTGCCCTTCAGTAGGCAGCATTATTGATGTAGTCCTTCTCTGAGCTAAATCATGGGAGATGACTTATAAACCTCACTTCCCCCTGGGGTCTGTGTGGGCCTCCGAATGCACTGTCCTACTCTGTCCTTGGCAGCTTACTCTCTTCTCAAAATGAATCCAAATTGGAATTTTTCATGAAATCTCTGAACTATTTTGCCACCTTCTCAATGCTGTTATTCCTACATCATCAATAAAAGAGAAAAAAAGCAAATATAAAAGCACGGTGTCTCTTTATTTTTTCCTTCTTCAACTGCTGTTCAGATATGTAGCTCATCTCCAAAAAATAAACCTCACATAGCAGATCATGCTGTGTGTGCTAACTCTCATCCTTGTCCACTGGTTTCTCATACAGGCCTGGTGTTCTTGAGCCACAGCCTAGAATACTCTGCTCAGAACTTCCTCTAGTGAAAAGGAAGCTCTGGGCAGGAGCCCAGGCCCCTCAGAGGCACAGCTGCAACAGTGAGAGGAGCTGGGGAGGTCCTGTCTTGCTCCCCTCCCCTCAGTGCCTGTGTGTCCACCCTGTCCAGTGTTCCCCATGCTGTCAATGTGAATGCCATCCAGCTGCCCAAGAAGAGTTCTGCTTATGGTGTCACTTGGAACTGCTTCCCTCCCTACTCCTGATTGTTTCTCCAGTTTTCCTCATCTTGTCCTGTCATCATGCCCCAAGTAAACTACTTACCTCAAACCCCAGTCTTTCCCTGTGCCCCCGAGTGCACATAAGATAAGATTCGCATCTTCTTCATCTAAGTGCTGCTGCTTGTCTGTATGTTTTTCAAGTGATGGGGATGGTTCTCATTATCTAGGCACCAGCTCTTGGATCCTATGCTCACTGAACTCATAAGTCTGCTGAATATTTTGATTTGGATTCTTTCAGCTCTTAGCCTAATTGTTCTTAGACAAATAATGTTTAGTCTTTCATTGTTGTTGATGCTTGACTTTTTAAAGTTTTTCCTTTGGTGTATATTAATTGTGCAAATAGTAAATTTTCTTTAGACATTATCATATATGTATATGGGGTTCTATGACCTTAAGTTCTTTGATTTGTCCTTGTGTTTACCCATACTTACTCCCCTCTTATTTACTTCATTCTCTAATAGACTTCTTTTTATTTTCATATCTTTTTTTAAGATGCAGCATAAGAGAAAAAACATTAAATCCTTGTTTTTCTGGGTCTATCTTGTTTCACTTAACATATTTGCCATTTCAAACAATTTTCCTATAATCTCATGACATCATGCTTCTGAATGTTTGAATAATATTGCCCTGAGCACTTGTATCACAGTTATGGCTCTTTTTTCACTGGTAATTGGCCCCCAGGATAACTCCATGACTTGACTCTTCTGAATAGTCCTGCAATAGATAGGAACATGCAGGTGTCTCCATTCTTTTTTTCCTGATTCCTTCATATATATATACATATCTATATATCTATATATGAGTGGTTTATATATATGCGTGGTTTATATATATATATATATATATATGAGTGGTTTATATATATATATATGAGTGGTTTATATATATATATATATGAGTGGTATATATATATATATATATATATATATATATGTGTATGTATATGCATATATATATGTATATATACATATATATATATATGAGTGGTATATATATATATATATATATATATATATATATGAGTGGTTTAGCTGATCATGTGTGAAATCTACATTTCTATATTTGAGGAAAAAATGTTCATTAGTATAATAAATGAACTAATTAATATCCCCCCAATTGTGTGTGGGGTCTCCTGTTTTACCCAGGATTCTCACTAACTCTATTAGCTACTTTGACTGTGGAATCTTTGTGTAGTTTTTGTTTGAAAATCTCTGATGTAATGTAACTCATGTGTTCCTTCAATGTCTATGCATTCATTGCCTATTTTTATTGACTGGAACTATATATATATATACATAATATATATATATACATATTATTTATGAACACTGTGCTTCCTGTTTCCTAGGCTGGTGCTGTTGTGGTCAAGTTTTCTACATTTGGATGTTCATTTTTCTGGCAATTCTTGATAAAGCTAGTCTCTTCTTTCAAGTTCTAGCACTTCTGTAAAGCAGAAGTTTTGGGGACTTTCTGCCAAGAATAAAGGTACTGTAGCTAGCCAGCTGAATGGATAAATTTCCAGGTCTTATATTCGATTCCATTGTTCCATGTGTACCACCTGGCATGTATTTTATTGTTTTTGTTTGTTTTAACTTGCTAGGAAAGAGCTGTACCACTTGAGCCATATCCCTGATATGTTTTTGTTAACATGGCTAGGTGACATTATTTAAGTATTATATTGTGATTCTCCAAAAATAAATCCACTCATGAGAAACACCAGGAAAATTTCCTATTTATAATTGCATGTGTCCTCAAATAAATAACTAAAATAAACCTAACCAAAGACCTGGAAAAGCTCTGTAATAAAGCTTATAAACAACAGAAGACTGAAACCACCGGATTTTTTTGTTTGTTTATTGTTTTGCCAGTCCCAGGGCTTGAATTCAGGGCCTGGACACTGTCCCTGAGTTTCTTTTGATGAAGGCAAGCACTTGAGGCACAGCTCCACTTCTGTTTTTTTTTCCCTGTTTATGTGGTACTGAGGAACCAGGGCTTCATGCATGCTAGTCCAGCACTCTACCATTAAACCACATTTCCAGGCACAAAACTGCCTGTTTTATGACACATAAGGGGCTAGGACAATTTCCTTAGAAAAACCAATCATACAGCTAATTCGATGGGCATTTTTGCACCTTTTAGCATTTACTGTGTCTACTACATAAATACATTATAATAACATTTAATTTTGTGTGTTCCAAAAATAATTCTTCTTTTAGTTTTCTGTATCCTTTTTGGCCTTTTCTAGTTTTTAAAATGGAAAACCTGAAGAGGAATAATATAATACTCCTCTTGAATAATGAGTAGGAGTGTCTTGTTTATTGATAGGGCTGAGAAGCTCAATGGAGATCCGGTATGTTATCTAGATATAAAAATAAGACAGAAGAATAATGCAACATCTAACTTGCTTTAACAGGTAAAAATTGGATAATCACAGGATTCCAGATGTCTTGTCAAAACCTTGAAAGAGGGGGCTGAGGGTATGGCTCAAGTGGTAGAGCATTACTGAAGCAAACAAAAATCACAAAGGACACAAAAAACACAGTGTCAAAGACTGAAGGACAACAAGTTCACAGTATAATATTACAGGGAATCAATCTTTACAGACAGCAGAGATCTGCAGCCCACTTTTCCATAAGAGGAACTAAATATTATTTAGCGATTTGATTCAGATAAGAAAAAAGAAAAGAAGCAAAGATATATCAAGACCTTTCAATTATTTTTTTCACCCAGAGTTAACTTACTTTTCCCTATAAAGCTTTGAAAATGGATCCTGACTCACAGTGGAGGAAGGAACATGTCCTCATGGCCTTCCTGGCTCCATGCTGCTGGCCTCTCATGTAAACCTTCCTCCCCACCTGACCTGATGAAGTACTCATTACATTCACCACATACAAATATGGCTCTATAAAATCTTGATAGCTAAAAGACTCAATGTACCATGTAAATGCCATTGAAGCCTATCGTAAGGAGACACTGGCTGTCACATGACAGCTCTTAGACCAAGACACACACATTTACAAGATGGTTCTCCAAGAAATGACAGGTGAATTCCAAAACGCCAGAAAAATGGAATCCGGTTTTCCTTCCCACTTCAAAATTTAATCAGGAAAAAACACAGCCTAATTTCATAACCATCATTTGTTAACCTACACAACTATAAGGAAACAATGCCACATGTGATGGATCACATGTGCTCCTTAGCAGGGTATAAAAGAGCATGTGGGACAGAGAGCCTTCCAAACTGTTCACACACATCTCCTTGCACACCCACCCAGAACCTCCATCCTCTGACACCATGGTCAACTCCTGCTGTGGCTGCACCTGCTGCCAGCCCTGCTGCTGTCAGCCCAGCTGCTGCCAGACTACCTGCTGCAGGACCACCTGCTGCCGCCCCAGCTGCTGTGTGTCCAGCTGCTGCCAGCCCTGCTGCTGCCAGCCCTGTTGCTGCCAGCCCACTTGCTGCCAGCCCACCTGCTGCAGGACCACCTGCTGCCGCCCCAGCTGCTGCACTGATTCCTGCTGCTGAGCATTCCATCCCGCACCCTCCTGCCCTTCAGTAGGCAGCTTTATTGATGTAGTCCTTCTCTGAGCTCAATCATGGGAGACTACCTGTAAACCTCAGTTCCCTCTGGGTCTCTGTGGGCCTCCAAATGCACTGTCCTCCTCAGTTCTTGGCAGTTTTCTATCTCTCTTCAAAATGAACCCAAGTTTAAAATTCCAATGAAATTTTGTTACCTTCTCAAATACTGTTATTCCTGTATTATCAATAAAAGCAAATAGGTGCAAATATAAAAACATTGTATCTCTTTATTTTCTCTTCTTCAATTGTTGTTCAAATCAATATGTAGCTTATTTTTAAACATAAATCTCATGGCAGGGCATTCTGGGTGTGCCAGCTCTGGTCTTTCTTATTGCTCCCTCAAAATAGACCATAGTTGCCTAAAGCTAGAACCTTGAGCTCTCTGCTGAGGATTTCCTCTATTGAAGAGAAAGTTGTAGGAGGAGCTCAGGCTATCAGGGACACAACTACAACAGTGATGGGAGCTGGTGACCCCGTCCTGCTTACCACCCCTCAGTTCCCATGTGTCCATTGTGTCCAGTGTACACAGGCTGTCCGTGGTAACATAATCCAGCTGCCCAAGGAGAATTCTCCATATGGCATATCTTGGTAATGTGTCCTCCCTAACTCTCAATTATTTCCCATTTCCTACATTTTGTCCTGTCATCATTCCACAAGTCAACTACTTAATCTCCATCTCCTAGGTTACCCTGTGCCCCAGAGTACACACAAGCTAAGACATATAAATATTGTTGATTTTTCAATACATTTTTCAAACAATTGGAATGGTGGTCATTATCTAGGCATCAGCGCTTGGATTCTTTTTTTGTACCTTTTTATTTGTTAAGGTGATAAGCAGAGGAGGGTTCTGTTACAGAAGTAAGGAAATGAGTAAATTTCTTGTCAACCTTGTTACCCCTTCCCTCAATTTTCTCCTATTTTCCCTCCACCCCCAAGTTGTACAGATTGTTTCCAACATAGTCTTGTGTATATATTGCTGTTGCACTTGCTCCCCCTTGTCCTTTGTCTCACTCTTCTGTTGTTCCCTTTGCCTTCCCTATTTGAAGGGTACCAAGGTACCAAAATCAAATACAGTAACACAGAGGATATACCATAAGGGGAAGAACATACAATAGAAACAAAAATAATCACATAGTATATTTAAAACAACAACAAAAACCTCTTGTGTCCATGTCTTGGAGTTCATTTCCCTTAGCATCATCTTATATTTTCATATGTACATAAGTTTTGAGCTGTTCTGCTCATCTGCTAAGATTATCCTGTCTAGGATATACTAATTATTGGATACTATGCTCACTAAAGTGAGAAGTCTTCTGAATATTTTGATATGGATCATTTCTGATGTGTGTCCAATTGTTCTTAGAGCGATAGTATTTTGACTTTCATTACTGTTATTGTTTAGTAGTCATTGATGTTTCATTATCCATATGCACACAGTATGACTCTGTAACTTGGATCTTGTCAATAGTCCTGCAATAGAGATGAGTATGTAGGTGTCTCAATTTAATACTTTTCAATTATATATGTGCCTGGTTCCTTCACACACACACACACACACACACACACACACACATTCATATGTATGCAGGAGTGTTTTAGATGGAATGTATGTGAGATCTATACTTAGATATTTGAGGAAATTGTATGCTTATTAGTATAATGAAGGAACTAATTCAAATTCCAACCAACAGTGTATGGGTCTCTTTCTTTCCCAGGGCCCTCACTATATCTGTTAGTTTTCTTGATGGCAGCCATTCTGACTGTGGTGAAATGTTGTCTTGATGTTGTTTTGATTTGGAAATTCTGATAGTGAAGGATATTGAACAGTTTCCATGCAATGTTAGCCATTTGTGTTCACTATATACTTGATTGCCCATTTTTTTGGACTGGATATACTGGAAAGTGAACACTGAACCTTTTGTTTCCTAGGGTAGTATTGTTATTGATCAAGTTTTCTACAACTGGATGTTCATTTTTCTGGCCATCCTTGAGAAAGCTAGTACCTAACTCCAAGAGGATGTAAGAACTCTGCAACCTACTTTCTCTCAAGAGAAACTAAAATATTATCTAGAGAGTTGATTCAGATAAAGAAAATATAAAGAAACAAAGACATATAGATGTTTCTAAATTAAAATTTTCACCCAGAGTTAGTCTATTCTTCCAGCAAGAGTCTAGGAAGTGGATCCTGACTCACAGTGAAGGAAGGAACATGTCCTCATGGCCTTCCTGGCGCCATGCCGCTGGCCTCTCACATACAAACCTACCTCCCCACCTGACCTGATGAAGGACTCATTAGATTCATTCTAGTGAGGCTTTAGCCTCCTGGGTCACCACACATAAATATGAGCCTATAAAATTTTGAATCCCTAAGAGTAGACACAGTGTACCATGTAAAATAAGATTGATGCATATCATAAGTATACACTGTTGTCACATGAGAGCTCTTTGAGAAACTACGTCAAGATACACACACTTAGGAGATGTTTCTCTGTGAACTGACAGGGGAATTCCAACACACCAGAAAAATAGCACCACATTTTCCTTCCCACTTGAAAATTTAATCAGGAAAATATAGTGGTCTAATTTGAGAACCTAAACACCCACAAGGAAAGAATGCTACATGTGATAGATCACAATGCTCCTTAGCAGGGTATAAAAGAGCAAGTGGGACAGAGAGCCTTCCAAACTGTTCACACACATCTCCTTGCACACCCACCCAGAACCTTCATCCTCTGACACCATGGTCAACTCCTGCTGTGGCTGCACCTGCTGCCAGCCCTGCTGCTGTCAGCCCAGCTGCTGCCAGACCACCTGCTGCAGGACCACCTGCTGCCGCCCCAGCTGCTGCACTGATTCCTGCTGCTGCATACCCTGCTGCCAGCCTTGCTGCTGCCAGCCCAGCTGCTGCCAGACCACTTGCTGCAGGACCACCTGCTGCCGCCCCAGCTGCTGCACTGATTCCTGCTGCTGAGCACTCTGATCCTTCTTCCTGGTCTTAAGCTACCAATACTTATTAGGTTGATATCTGCAAGCTGATCATAGGAGGCCAACTGTAAACCTATTCCCTTGGGGTCTGTGTGGACCTCTAAATACACTGACCCCTTCACCCCCATTCCTTGTTCAGGTTACCATCTCTCTTCAAAATAAACTCAAGTTGGAATTTTTCATGAATCTATCAACTATGTATTTACCTTCTCAAATGAGGTTATTCCTATATCATCAATAAATGTGAATATATGCAAATACAAAGCATTATGTTGCTTTATTTTTTTTCAGTTGTTCAAATATATAGCTCATCTCCAAACAATAAAAATCCCATGTCAGGGCATTCTGGGTATGCCAGCTTGGGTCTTTCCTATTGTTCCCTCAAATATAGACCATGGTTGCCTGGAGGCAGAGCCTAGAACTCTCTCCTGAAGTCTTGCTCTATTGAAGAGAAAGCACAAGCCAGAAGATCAGCTCCCAGGAGCAGAGCTCCAATAATGACAGGAACTAGTGAGGCCTGTCCTGCTTCTCTCTCCTTCAGTGCTCATGTGTCCACCCTGTCCAGTGTACACAGGCTGTCTGTGGGAACATAATCCAGCTTCCCAAGGAGAATTCTCCATAGGACATTCCTTGAGAGTGCGTTCTCTCTTACTCTCAATTATTTCCCAAGTTTCCTACATCTTGTCCTCTCATCATCCCCAAATAAAGGATTTACTTCAATCTCGGGTCTGGCTATGCACCAGAAGGCACACAATCTAATCTCACATCTTCCTCATTTTCATGTTTTTGATTTTTCCATACATTGTTCAACAATAGGGATGATTCTCAACTATGCCTCAGCTGTTGGATTCTATGCTCACTAAAGTGAGAAATGTTCTGATTATTTTGATGTAGATCATTTCAGATGTTTGTCCAATTGTTCTTAGATCAATAGTTTTACTTTCATTTTAGTTAATGTTAAATTGTCATTGATGTTTGTTATCAGTATATATTAATTGTATAAATAGTAAATATGCATGAGACATGATCAGACATGTATATGACCTTAGGTTGTTTGACTTGTCCTTGTGATTACTTAATCCCTTTAATCTCCTCCCATTGGTTAACTTTATTCTTGAAAATGTTTCTTTTTATTTTCATATCATTTTCTTTTAAAGATTCACTTTATGACAAAAATTTAATACTTGTCTTTCTGAGTCTATCATATTTCATTCAACATGGCAATTACCACTTCAATCAATTTTCCTATGAAGTCATGACATCATTCTTCTAAACGTCTGAGTAATACTGCACTGAGCACATGCAAAAAGTGTTGGTTCTTTTTTTTTTTATACCATCAATGGGCACCCAGGATGACTCCATGACTTGGCGATTGTGATTAGTCTCGCAATAGATGCGGGTGTCTCCATTCCGTGCTTGAGGTATTTATATGTATGTGCTTTAGTTGGATTTTATGTGAGTTCTATATTTATATATTTGAGGAAATTGTATGCATCTTAGTAAAATGAATGAATGAATTCAAATTCCCACCAATGGTGTGTGGGGTCTTCTGTCTTTCCAATGATCCTCACTAACACTGTGAGTTTCTTGACAGCAGCCATTCTGACTGTGGTGAAATGGAATCTTGTGTAGTTTCTAGTTGAAAATCCTCAATGGTGAAGACATGGAACACTTTCCGTGTAATGTTATTCATTTGTGTTCCTTCAATGTCTATGCATTAATTGTTCATTTTTAATTGCTGCAAAATATAATGTGTATGTATATATTTATACATTTCTACTAGAGTGAATACTGAGCCTCCTGTTTCCTAGGGTAGTGTTGTTGTGGTCAGGTTTTCTACATTTGGGTGTCCATTTCCCTTGCCATATTTGATAAAGCTAGTATCTTCCTCCAACTTAGCGGCTCTTCTGCAATGCATGTGTTTCTGGAACTTTTTCCAAGAATCAAGATACTGTAGCTGATTGGGTAAATTTCCAGGTCTGGTTCCATGTTTATGTTTGGGTGGCTGTGTGTATTTTATTGTTTTTGCTTGGTTTAGCTTGCTATACTATACTATGTCAGCCATCTCCGCTGGTGTCTAGAACGGTTTCACTAACATAGCTAGGAAACATAATTTCAGGTGTTTTATTGTGATACTTCCAAAAATAAATTCACCATTGAAAGCAACCAGGAAAATTTCCTATTCATATTCTCATCTGTACACAAATAAATAACTAAAATAAACCTCACCAAAGACATGGAAAGTCTTTTTGCTGAAACTAAGAAACAACAGAAGAAAGCAATTTACAGATTGATGACACATAGAGGGTAGCAGAATTTCCTTCTTTCAGAAAAACTAATCTTATAGCTAAGTAGATGGGTATTTTAGCACCTTTCTATATTTATTGTGTCTTCTCTCTAAATATAATTTGTGTGTCCTATCATCATTCCTCTTGCTTTTTAGGCTTGTGTTTGTTTTTGTTTGTTTTGGTCTCTCTTTATTTTTGGAACTGAAAACCTGAACAGCAAAGTCTTGTTTATTGATAGGGATAAGAAGCTCAAGAGAGATCTGTCATTTTGTGTGCAAATAAAAATAAAACAGAAGAATGATGTGACATCTAACTTGCAGTAGCAGGTAAATATTAGAAAATCACAGGATTCTAGATGTCAAACAAAGAGTAGGCTGAGGGTGTGATTCATGTGTTAGAGCATTACTGAGCAAGTGTATGATCCTCAATTCACAGCACAATCCCTCCAAAACAAAAACAAAAAAAATCAAACAAAAAACACAAAGGACATAAAAACAGTATGCTGAAGACTGAGGGCAACGAGTTCATAGTACAACATGAAGGGAAATTTCCAGAGGACAGCAGAGCTCTGCAAACCACTTTCTCACAAGGGGGACTAAAATGTTATATAGAAAGTTGATTCAGATAAAGAAAATATAAAGAAACAAAGACATATAGATGTTTCTAAATTAAAATGTCACCCAGAGTTAGTCTATTCTTCCAGAAAAAGTCTAGGAAATGGATCCTGACTCACAGTGGAGGAAGAAAAATGTCCTCATGGCCTTCCTGGCTCCATGCCGCTGGCCTCTCATATGCAAACCTACTTCCCCACCTGACCTGATGAAGGACTCATTAGATTCTAGTGAGGCTTTAGCCTCCTGGGTCACCACACACAAATATGGGCCTATAACAATCTTGAATACCTAACAATAGACACAATGAGCCATGTAAAATGAGACTGAAGCATATGCTAAGGAGACACTGGCTGTTATATGACAACTCTTTGAGGAACTACATCAAGACACACACACTTAGGTGATGGTTCTCCATGAACTGACAGGTGAATTCCAACACACCAGAAAAACAGCATCATGTTTCCTTCCCAATTGAAAATTTAATCAGGAAAATATAGTGGCCTAATTTGAGAACCTAAACACCCACAGGAAAGAATGCTACATGTGATGGATCACAAGGCTCCTTAGCAGGGTATAAAAGAGCATGTGGGACAGAGAGCCTTCCAAACTGTTCAACCATATCTCCCTGCACCCCCACCCAGAACCTCCATCCTCTGACACCATGGTCAACTCCTGCTGTGGCTGCACCTGCTGCCAGCCCTGCCGCTGTCAGCCCAGCTGCTGCCAGACCACCTGCTGCAGGACCACCTGCTGCCGCCCCAGCTGCTGTGTGTCCAGCTGCTGCCAGCCCTGCTTCTCTCAGACCACCTGCTGCTGCCCCAGCTGCTGCACTGATTCCTGCTGCTGAGCACTCTGTTTTGCACCCTTCTGCCCTTCAGTAGGCAGCATTATTGATGTAGTCCTTCTCCAAACTAAATCATGGGAGACTACCTGTAAACCTCTCTTCTCACTGGGGTCTGTGAGGACCTCCAAATGCACTGTCCCCCTCCGTCCTTGGCAACTTACTTTCTCTCTTCAAAATGAACTCAAGTTGAAATTTTTCATGTAATCTGTCAACTGTCTTGTTACCCACATGAAAGTATTTGTTCTGTGACTTGGTTTCTCAAATTCTGTTATTCCCCGTCAATAAATTTGGCTTTTTTTCCATCCAATTATAAAAGCATTGTGTCTCTTTATTTTTTCTTCTTTAATTGCTGTTCCAATATGTAGCCCACCTCCAAAAAATAAAATTTCCACAGCAAAGCATTCTGGGTATGCCAGCTCTGATCCTTCTCCATGGATCTCTCAAATAGGCCATGGTTGTCTTGCACCAGAGCTTATATCTCTCCACTGAGGGTTTCCTCCATTGTATAAGAAGCTCTGGGCAGGAGCTCAGGCCCCAAGGGGCACAGCTGCAACAGTGAGAGGAGCTGGTGAGGCCCTGTCCTGCTCACCTCCCCTCAGTGTCTATGTGTCCACCCTGTCCAGGGTTCCACATGCTGTCCATGGGAATGCCATCCAGCTGCCCAAGGACAGTTCTGCTTATGGTGTCACTTTGAACTGTTTCCCTCCCTACTCCTGATTGTTTCTTGTTTCCCACATCTTGTCCTGTCATCATGCCCCAAGTAAACTACTTACCTCAAACCTCAGGCTTTCCTTGTGCCCCAGAGTGCACAAAAGCTAAGAATCACATCTTCAGCTAAGTGCAGCTGCTTGTTCATATGTTTTTCAAGTGATGGGGATGGTTCTCATTATCTAGGCACCAGCTCTTGGATCCTATGCTCATTGAACTCATAAGTCTGCTGAATATTTTGATTTGGATTCTTTCAGCTCTTAGCCCAACTGTTCTTAGATAAATAATGTTTAGTCTTTCATTGTTGTTGATGCTTAACTCTTTAAAGCATTGCCTTTGGTGTTATTATTTGTGCAAATAATAAATTAATTGTGCAAATAGTAAATTTTCTTTAGACATTATCATACATGTATATGGGGTTCTATGACCTTAAGTTCTTTGATTTGTCTTTGTGATTACCCATACTTACTCCCCTCCCATTGATTTATTTCATTCTCTAAAAGGCTTCTTTTTATTTTTCATGCCTTTTTAAAAATATGAAAAAATAAAAATAATGCTTGTCTTTCTGAGTCTATTTTATTTCATTCAACATGGTATTTACCACTTCAATAATTTTCCTGCAAAGTCATGACACCATTCTTCTGAATGTCTGAATAACACTGCATTGAGCATATGCACCACATTTTGGTTCTTTTTTCACCATCAATGGGTACCCAGTATGGCTCCATGACCTGGCTTTTATGAATAGTCCTGAAATAGATGCAAGCATGCATTTATTTCTGCATTCTGTGTTTCCTGATTCCTTCACACACACACACACACACACACACACACACACACACACATATATACATATATATGTATACATATATGCACACACATAAGCAGCAGAACTTTAGTTGGGATCTATATTTACATATTTGAGAAAATTGTATGCTTATTAGTATAATGAATGAGCTAATTCAAACTGCCACCAACAGTGTATGGGTTCTCTTTTCTTTTCAAGGATCACCACTAACACTGTTAGTCTTCTTGACGACAGCCATTCTGACTGTGGTGAAATGGAATCTTTGTGTAGTTTTGATTTGAAAATCTCTGATGAATACTTTCTATACAATGGTACTCATTGTGTTCCTTCAATGTTTATTCACTTCATTGCCCATTTTTATGTATTGGATATATGTATATATATATATATGTATCCATATATATGTACACACATTTGTACACTTGTACTGGAGAATGAATAGTGAGCCTCCTGTTTCCTAGGGTGGTGGTGTTGTAGTCAAGTTTTCTATATTTGGATGTGCATATTTCTGGAAATTCTTGATAAAGCTACTTTCTTCCTCCAAATTAGTAGTGCTTCAGTAATGCATGTATTTCTGGCACTTTTGCCAAGAATCAAGATACTATAACTAGCCAGCTAATTAGGTAAATTTCTGGGTTCTGTGTTTTATTCCATTGTTCCCTGTTTCCGTTTTAGTTGGCAGTGTGTATTTTATTGTTTTTGCTTGTTTTAGCTTGCTAGGAAAGAGCTGTACCATATCAGCCATCTCCCCTGGTAACCAGAATGGTTTCATCAACATGGCTAGGTGACATAATTTCAGGTGGTTTATTGTGATAGTTCCAAAAATAAATTCACCATTGAAGAAAACTTCCTATTCATAATCTCATTTGTACATAACTAAAATAAACCTCACCAAAGACCTGGAAAATCTTTTTGATGAAACTTAGTAACAATAGAAGAAAGAAATTGCCTGTTTGATGATGCATAGGGGGTAGCAGAATTTCCTTCTTTCAGAAAAACTAATCCTATAGGTAATTAGATGGGTATTTTAGCACTTTTCTACATTTATTGTGTCTTTTCTCTAAATATAATAGCATTTCATTTTGTGTGTTCTTCCATCATTCTTTTTGTTTTTTAGGCATGTTTCCTTTTTTGTCTCTCTTAATTTTGCAATTGAAAACCTCAACAGGATAACATAATAATCCTCTTGAAAAATGAAACAGGGTAGTCTAGACTGGGAAGGTTGCTCAGTGGTAGAGTGCTTGACTCACATGCATTAGGCCATGGGTTTGATTCATCAGCACCACATAAACAGAAAAGTCTGGAAGTGGTTCTGTGTCTCAAGTGGTAGAGCACTAGCTTTGAGCTGAAGAGCTGAGGGACAGCATCCAGGCCCAGAGTTCAAACCCCTTGACTGACAAAAAAAAACAATAAAAATAAATGAAAGGGGAGTCTTGTTTATTGATAGGGATGAGAAGCTCAATAGAGATCTATAATGTTGTGTGTGAATATATAAATAAGACAGAAGAATAATGTGGCATCTAACTTGTGCTAGCAAGTAAATATTGGAAAAATCACAGGATTCCAGATGCCTTGTTGAAAACCTCGAAGAGGGGATTAGGGGTAGGGTGTGGCTCAGGTGGTATAGCATTACTGAGCAAGTGTATGGTCCTCAATTCACAGTATAATCCCTCCAAAACAAAAACAAAAAAAAATCAAACAAAAAGCACAAAGGACATAAAAACAGTATGCTGAAGACTGAGGGCAATGAGTTCATAGTACAACATGAAGGGAAATTTCCAGAGGACAGCAGAGCTCTGCAAACCATTTTCTCACAAGGGGAACTAAAATGTTATTTAGAGAGTTGATTCAGATAAAGAAAATATAAAGAAACATGACATATAGATGTTTCTAAATTAAAATTTTCACCCAGAGTTAGTCTATTCTTCCAGAAAAAGTCTAGGAAATGGATCCTGACTCACAGTGGAGGAAGAAAAATGTCCTCATGGCCTTCCTGGTGCCATGCTGCTGGCCTCTCACATGCAAACCTTCCTCCCCACCTGACCTGATGAAGGACTCATTAGATTCTAGTGAGGCTTTAGCCTCCTGGGTCACCACACACAACTATGGGTCTATAACAATCTTGAATACCTAACAATAGACACAATGTGCCATGTAAAATGAGACTGAAGCATATGCTAAGGAGAAAATGGATGTCATGTGATGACTCTAGACCAAACACTTACACTTAGGAGATGGTTCTTCATAAACTGACAGGTGAATTCCAACACGCTAGAAAAACAGCATCATGTTTCCTTCCCACCTGAAAATTTAATCAGTAAAATATAGTGGCCTAATTTGAGAACCACCTGTTTGTAACCTAAACACCCACAAGGAAAGAATGTTACATGTGATGGATCATAAGGCTCCTTAGCAGGGTATAAAAGACCATGTGGGACAGAGAGCCTTTCAAACTGTTCAAACACATCTCCTTGTACACCCACCCAGAACCTCCATCTCTGACACCATGGTCAACTCCTGCTGTGGCTGCACCTGCTGCCAGCCCTGCTGCTGTCAGCCCAGCTGCTGCCAGACCACCTGCTGCAAGACCACCTGCTGCCACCCCAGCTGCTGTGTGTCCAGCTGCTGCCAACCTTGCTGCTGCCAGCCCTGTTGCCGCCAGCCCAGCTGCTGCCAGACCACCTGCTGCAGGACCACCTGCTGCCGCCCCAGCTGCTGCACTGATTCCTGCCACTGAGCACTTTGTTCTGCATTCTCCTGTCTTAAGCTGCCAACTTTTTGGAAGTAGAAATTTGCAAGCTGATCTTGGGAGGCCCAAGGTGCATGCACTTCAGTGGGCATTGTTGTTGGTGGAGACCTCCACATACCTTACCCTTCTCCTTCAGGTTCCATCTCTCTTCAAGAGCAACTTAACTTAAATTCTAAAATCTGTCAACGAACTTTCTTGTTACTACCCCTGATATATTCTAACATGTTTTCTTGTTATTATTTCTATATCTTAAATAAATCTCAGTTTTGAGCCATCCAAATATAAAAGGCTTATGTCTCTTTATTTTTTTCTTCTTGAATTGTTTTTCAAATACATAGCTCATGTCTAAATAATTTTTTAAAAACCCTGGGGTGAGGGATTCTGGGTAGAAAGCTCTGGTCCTTTCCTACAGCTTCCTCAACTATTGAAGATGGTTGCCTAGAACCCGAGCTTAGAACTCTCTGCTGAGGACTTCTGCTATTGAAAAGGAAGCTCCAGGTGGAAGCTTCTGCCCCCAGGGTATAGCTCCAATAGTGAGAGGATCTGGGGAACCCCTGTCCTGCTCACCTCCCCTTCAGTGTTTGCATGTCCACTATGTCCATGCTCTACAGGTCATCGGCAGGAATGCAGCCCAGTGCTGCGGGAAACATTCTTCTCATTGTGGTACTCCGCGACTGTTACCTCCCCACTCCTTGCCCTTAATTATTTTCTGAGTGACCCTCAACCAGTCCTATCATCATCATTTCCCAAGCAAACTACTGATCTTAACTTCCTGGGTCTGGGGATGCCTCAGATCTGTGGTGCAATCTAAGACATATCACTTCCTCATCTCAGTGTCACAGCTGTGCCATACATTTCAATATGATGGGGATATGAATTTCATTAGGACATTTTCATGCATGGATATGAGCATCTGTGTCCTTAAGTTCTTTGGTTTGTCCTGCTGATTATCCATACTGATCCCCTCCTGTGAGTCTATGTCCTATTCTCTACTAGTCCTCTTTCTACTTTATGTCTTTTAAACAACAACAACAACTGATATAGATGAACATAATATGGACAATTATGGAGATGGGTCTTACGTTTCTTTACCCTTTTGGATAATCCGAGGACCTCATATTGCTTCCAAAGTCCAGCCACTAGCCCACCACAATTCAATTTAAAAAGTTTGTGCATCATACAGAAAACTAAAAGTGGACTGTCACCATACACTAACATCAACTCAAAAGACCTAACATCTGCACAGCTAAAGACATAGTAACCAAACTAGAAAAACAGCCAACTAATTGGGGAAAATATTTACCAGCAATATATCAGACAAGGGGCTAATATTCAGTATATACAGGGAACTCAAGAAATTAATCCCTACAAACCTAATAAACCTATTATTAAATGGGCAAGGGAACTAAAGAGAGACTTCTAAGAAGAGATAAAAATGGCAAAGAAACCCAGGAGGAAATATTCACTGTCCCTGGTTGTAAAGGAAATGCAAATAAAAACAACCCTGAGATACCACCTTACCCCAGTCAGAATGGCCTGCATCCTAAATTCAGCCAATGACAATTGCTGGAGGAGATGCAGAGAAAGAGGAACCCTACTGCTGGTGGGAATGTATACTAATACAACCACTTTGGAAAGCAGTCTGGAGGGTCCTCAGAAAGCTAAATACAGACCTCCCTTATGACCCAGCCATACCACTCCTAAGAATCTATCCTGAACAACAGGAACCAGGATACAAGGACACATGCACCTCCATGTTCATTGCAGCACTATTTACAATAGCCAAGATCTGGAAACAACCCAGATGCCCCACTATAGATGAATGGATCAAAAAAGTGTGATACCTATATACAATGGAATATTATACAGCCATTAGAAAGGACAAAATAATTGCATTTGCAGGAAAATGGATGGAACTAAAAGAAATCATGTTGAGCGAGGTAAGCCAAGAGCAAAGATAAGTGGATGTTAAATCTAAAATGTAAGGATATATGACAAAGTAAGCAAGACTCCAGAAACAAAGGGCCTCCACTTAGCTGGTTGAACCATTAAAATGACCCCATGCTGCTGACCACATATATGGTATATATGTGCACATCAGAGAAAAACTAAGAGGAGGACACAGAAACAGAGGGAAACAAGGGAAAGCATACAACAGCAGGACCCATCAGCTGCAGTGGTCATTGATCAAAATTATGCAACTAATGGCAGCAATGGGATGGAGGGAATGAGCAGGAAAGAGGGAACAGCTGACACTAAGCAAAAGGAAAGAAATGTACATATCACCCAATGTGGAAGAACTGTATTGTCAACGCTCATAGAATTCATAAAATTTATAGACCTTGATAAAGACAATTTGCCCCACGAAGGTTAGAATGTATTTGTGATTTTATCACTATCTCACAATACTGTGAAATTTGTGAAATTTATGTAATCACTTAATCACAATAAAAATTGCTATAAAAAAGTTTGTATGAAACAAAGACAAAGGGTGAAGCAATGCAACAGTTGTACACACAAGACACTAGTTTGGAAATTAACTTTACATCGGGGAGATGGGGTGAGGGGGATCATGGGAGCAAAAGCAAAGGAAGGGGTGACCATGTTTGACAAGAAATGCACTCATTATCTTACTTATGTATCCATAACCCCTCTGTACAACTCCTTTACAACAAAATTAAATTTTAAAAAAATTGTGCACTAGCCCAACCATTGGCAGTTTTTAGTGATTTCCATGTTCTGTCTATCATGATATGAACTGGAAGGACCACTGATTTGGAGGTGTGAATTTCACAATATTTTTAATACATTTTCACAATATTGTTTTATAACGAAAATTTTATAACAAAATATTCTGCAATATTTACCTGTAAAAAGGGTCTTCTTTTTGTGCTAGTCATGGGGTTTGAACTTAGAACCTGGGGACTGTTCTTGGGCTTCTTCTGCTTAAGGCTAGTTCTCCACTACTTGGGCCACAGCTCCACTTCTGGCTTTTTGGGTGGTTAATTGGAGATAAGAGTCTTATGGACTTTCCTGCCCAGGTTGGCTTCAAATCATGATCCTTAGATCTCAGCCTCCTAAGTAACTAGGATGTATAGGTGTGAGCCACCAATGCTTAGTAGAAAAGGTATTCTTTTTTTTTTTTTTGTCAGTCCTGGGGCCTGAACTCTGGGCCTGGGCACTGTCCCTCAGTTCTTCAGCTCAAGGCTAGTGCTCTACTACTTGAGCCACAGTGCCACTTCCAGCTTTTTCTGCTTATGTGGTGCTGAGGAATCGAACTCAGGGCCTCATGTATGCAAAGCAAGCATTCTACTGAACCACCTTCCCAGCCCCTGGAAAGGGTGTTCTTAATCTCCCTAATATTTATAAGCTTACCTCTGAATATTTTCTATGTCTTTTTTTCTGACCTTGTTTTGTAGCAAAGTGAAGTGGAGAAAAAGCTCCCTATTCAGGATATCTTGTTATTTAAATCTTTCAAGTTCTCTATGTTGACAAGCCCATACTAAAAGCATGAGAATCAAATGTTTGCTAAACAAGTTCATGTGATTAAAAATATACATTACAATCGGCTTGGTTTTTAAATGGTCTTAATTAAGACACTGAATGATGTCATCACATTCTTACCAACTAGTCTCTCTCTGCTGTTCTTGATGCACAGGGGACCAACTGAAGTAGTGGCAGCATTCCTAACTTTTAGTCAATTGGATGGGCAATTCTGAGCCCTTTTGTAACTTTACTCTAAGCACACTGTATATAAACACAAGCCTATGTTCTCTCATCTATACAGGTTTTATATTAGTCTGTCTAAAGTACTGTTCCTTTAAAAGGAGTCCTGGAAGTGGAATGACCTTTTGGAATAATGAAATGGGTGAGTCTAGTATACAAGCAGGGCTTAGTAAAGTCAGGTGTAAATTAAAGTAAGAAGCATTAAATATTGGGTTTTCTAATTTGAGTTAATAAGTCAATCTAAGTAGGGAGGACATGGGTCCACATGTCCTCCTGCTAAAGCCACAGGCCAGGACACCAAACACAGAAGTAAAAGAAAACAACAGAGGCTGGAAATGTGGCTCAGTGGTAGAGTGCTTGCCTAAGCATGCATGAAGTCCTGGGTTAGATTCCTCAGTACTACATAAACAGAAAAGGCCAGAAGTGGTGCTGTGGCTCAAGTGGTAGAGTGGTAGCCTTGAGCACAGAGAGACTCAAGGACAGTGCCCAGGCCCTGAGTTCAAGCTCCAGGACCAGCAAATACTACTACTACTACTACTACTACTAAGCAGTACAGATGGAAAGTTTACTATTTAGCAGAGATTGGCATCTTTAAGTAGCCCTAAAAATTGTTTTACAGGTTTGGTTTTGGCAGACGAAAGAGAGAGAGACAGAAACAGAGAGAGACAGAGAGAGACAGACAGACAGAGAGAGAGAGGAGAAGGGAAGGGGAAGGAGAAAGGGGAGGAGAGAGGAGAGGAAAGGACAGGAGACATATAGAATGTTTCACTACTTCATTTTCCACCTTTGAGATAGTTCTGTGCTGACCATAAAAATGTCAAGAAAAGGGCTGGGAAGGTGGCTCAGTGGTAGAGCACTTGCCTTGCATGCCTGAGGCCCTGGATTCTATTTCTCAGCACCACATAAGCAAAAAGAAAAAAGGCCGGAAGTGGCATTGTGGCTCAAGTGGTAGAGTGCTAGCCTTGAGCTGAAGAGCTGAGAGACAGCGCCCAAGCCCAACGTTCAGGTCCCACGACCGCCCCCCCCCAAAAAAAAGTCAAGAAAAAATGGCCTATCATTCACAGTGGGGAAGGAAATATGTCCTACCTCATCTGGTCTTCCTGCTCTCATGCCAATGGTCTGTCACATAGAAACCTTCTTAGCCCACCTGACTTCTGATGAGTAAGTAATCACATTCCAAAGCAGCTTCATCCTCCCCGCTATCCAGAAACAAGCATGAGGCTGAAGACTTATGATTCCATCAAGGCCGACAGGGTATACTAGACACGGTGATGTGTCTTTATCCTCAGATACTTGACATCATGTGTCAGCCCTCATTGAGGAATAAAATGAAAGAGTCACATAGAAGATATTTCCATAGGAATAGATGGATAAACACTAACACACCGGGAAAAGGAAATCCTGTTTCCCTTCCACTTTGATATTTAACCAGGAAAATATACTTGCCTAATTTGATAATTGCCTGTTTATTAACATAAACAATAACAAGGAAAGAATGCCATAGGTAATGACAGCTGACCCTTAGCAGGGTATAAAAGGGCATCAGGGTCAGAGAGACTTCCAAACTTTCCAGCCACACCTCCTTGAACACTAACTCAGAACCTCCATCCTGCGACACCATGGTCAACTCCTGTTGTGACTCCACCTGCTCTGAGGAGGGCTGCTGCCAGCCCAGCTGCTGCAGGCCCCAGTGCTGCACCTCTAGCTGCTGCCGCCCCAGCTGCTGTGTGTCCAGCTGCTGCAGGCCCTGCTGCCAGTCTGTGTGCTGCCAGCCCAGCTGCTGTCGCCCCAGCTGCTGCCGCCCTACCTGCTGCATCTCCAGCTGCTGTAGGCCTTGTTGCCAGCCCAGCTGCTGCCGCCCCAGCTGCTGCATCTCCAGCTGCTGCAGGCCTTCTTGCCAGTCCGTGTGCTGCCAGCCCTGCTGCCGCCCCAGCTGCTGCCGCCCCAGCTGTACTAGCTCCAGCTGCTGTGGCTCCAGCTGTTGCCGCCCCAGCTGCTGCATCTCCAGCTGCTGCAGGCCCCAGTGCTGCACCACCAGCTGCTGCAGGCCCCAGTGCTGCATCCAGTGCTGCATCTCCAGCTGCTGCAGGCCTCAGTGCTGCACCTCCAGCTGCTGCAGGCCCCAGTGCTGCATCTCTAGCTGCTGCAGGCCCCAGTGCTGCACCTCCAGCTGCTGCAGGCCCCAGTGCTGCATCTCTAGCTGCTGCAGGCCCCAGTGCTGCATCTCCAGCTGCTGCCGCCCCAGCTGCTGTGGTAGTTCTTGCTGCTGAGCTCTCTGACCTGCACCCTCCTAGTCTTCAGTAGTCAACATTCTTAGTGGAGACCACTTGTGAGCTGAATCTCGGAGGCCAGTTGTAACACTTTAGTTCCCCCCCTGGGGTTCATGTGGGCTTCTAAACATGCTGTCTCTTCTCCTCCCCATCTCTCTCCAAAATAAACATGATTTGAACTTTCTCTGAACTCCATCAACTATTATGTTACTCATATCCTCACCCCCACTGTGGAAGTATTTTCTCTTTGACATAATACCTCAAATGCTGTATTTCTTACATTTTAAATAAATCTTAATTTTTCAAAGCATCTAAACATAAAGCTTTGTGTCCTTCTTGCTGTTCCTCTTGAATTGTCGCCACCTGCCAATCTTTTGCAGCTGACCTCCAAATAATGAAAAGACCATTGCAGAGGACTTCATATCCCTCAGCTCTCTTCCCTCATCCCTCCTTCCAATTCAGGAGGGTGGTTTCATGGCAGCAGCCCCCCATCTGAAAGCATTTTCTCATTGCAGAGCAAGCGAGAGCTTGCTAGGAGGTGAGTGTAGTGTACACAGAAAGGGCTCAAGAAGGTTTAACACTCTAGGAGTTAAAGTTCCTAGAAACAGAGGCCAAGCAGTGCAAAGTTTCTCATGGACATCTGCTCCTGGTCAAGTCCCCTCAGTGGACGTCTCCCACTCCACGAGCCCAGTGGAGCCCAGATTCCTCCAGAGGAATTCTGCTCATTATATCTCCATTGGTTTCCTCCCAGGCCTGGATTACCTCTCTAGTTCCCTCCAGATCCTCCTTGTGAAGGAGGATCACAAGGAAACCAATTTGTCTCAATCCCCTTGTGTCTGCAGCTGCCTCAGAGTGCACAAAATCTGACACCCTATCACAAGAACCTCAGGGTTCTTGCTCTTTCACTTGTTTTCATACAATATTGGGAGTTGCCACAGCATTGAGCCAATGTTTGCGTTTTCTGGCCACCATGCTTGCAAATTATCCAAACCCTTGTCCTTTCTTCTTCCCAATGTGGGACCATCTTTGTATCTAGTCATCTCCACACCCTTTCTTCAATAGCCATGTTAGTTTATTTGAAAGCTGTAGGGAAGGATGACCATGTTAGTAATTCTCATCCCAATGGACTCATGCTTGAAGAGTGACTTGCTCTATTACATACATGAGTTGTACAAGGAGTGTTTCATTATGGCATTTCCATAAACACACACCATGTATGTCTCAACCTTACCCTCCCTATCACTGTCTTTCCTCCCTGTTCCTCTACTCTTCTTCTTCCTTCTTATACTGTTGGCAATGTATCACCCCTGTGGAAATCATTATGGAGATTCTTCAAATAGCTAAAAATATGTCCAGCTTATGATTGCACCATATCACCTGAATATGCACCTGAATAATTATGTTTACTGAATGGAGTTTTTTTTTAATACAACAGACTTTCTCAGAAGAAATCTGGAAGAAACTGGGGGAAGCAAGTTAGAGTCTTAGAAATGGATGGACAAATGTGGTTTCAGTGAATTCTACCAGATCCGGCCGGCCCCCAAAATGTTTTTTTTTAATTTTTTTTATTGTGAAGATATTGTACAGAGAGGTTACAATTACATGAGCAAGGTAATGAGTACATTTCTTTTTTATTTTTAAAATATTTTTTATCGTGAAAATACTGTACAGAGGGGTTACAATTATATGGGCAAGATAATGAGCATATTTCTTATCAAGCATTGTAGCCTCCTCCTTTGTTTACCCTTCCCATCCCTTCCCAGCCTCCCCTCCCCCCCCCACCAAAGTTGTAAAGTTTGTTTTCGACATGACAACTTGTACTTCTCATTGTTGTAATGGGTCCACCTGTATCCTTATTTAAACGACTTGTTTTTCCCCTTCCCCTACACAAATTATACCGACATCAAATACAGTGAAAGCAGGGGTTATACTGTGGGGGATGGACATATAAAGCAACAAAGAAATAATCTTATAAATGCGTTAAAAACAAATGCATGAAAGAAAAAAAACATTTAAATACATATCTTAGGGTTCATTTTCCTAACATCACCTTATCTGACCTTTTCTGCTTGACTCATACATATACTAGATATTGCAAATAAGGGAAACCATGGGACCTATGTATCTTTGGGCTTGGCTTACTTCCCCAGAATGTTCTAAAGTGCAACCATAGCTCTGCCTCTCCTAGAGGCAATGTGGCTGAACTTCCACAGTCCCTTTTTTTTGTTATGGCCACCCCAGGGTGGAAGGAGATATAACAGCTAATATCAAGTTAGATACCAGCAATTGCTTTTAAATTATTTTTTGTGACTTGCAATTTAATTTATGTATATAATACTATAATATAGAGTTTTGTCTAAATGTAGTTCAACATTAGGATTCTCTGAGGAGCATTGAAAATGTCTCAAGCCCTGGCCTGACCCTAAACCAAATTAAAACAAGATTGACCTAGGCAGAAACCAGGCCTAGACAGTTTTAAACTTTCCCCAAGTGATTCTATCATGCAGCCAACTGTCAGAGCCACTGGTCCCAGCAGTCATGATGTGCTACTTCTTGGACTATACTAAGAATGTACTCTGCCTTTGTAGTTGTGATGAAATGTTTTTCCTAACCTCCATAAATCGATATGGAAACATCACCATTAACAACCAAAAGGTCTTTTTCTTTTTTGTTTTTATTTATTTTTTCCTCAGCTTCTCATCTGTAACAATTCCGGTGAAAATCTCCTTTTCCCATCAAGATTCTCTGAGGCCTCACAATAAAATTATTAAAATCTTTCAAATCCCAGCTTTTCCCACACATGCTTACAAATTAAAAACCTGTAAATCAAAGGCAATTTAGTTTGATAAACATATTACAAAGGAGTTGGTCTTTAAATGCTCTTAAGTAAATCAAGCACACCATCAGGGTGTTACCCAACTCATCTCTCTTTTTCTGAGACATCTTTGGACTTTATAACGAGAGTCCTGAGTTCTGAGATACTCTCTCAGTCCTGGGAAGTCAGAGACAATTGGTAGTGTTAGCCTGAATTGGTTAATAGTATTTAAAATAACCATCAATACAGCTCTATATGAACTAGCATAGTATCTCCCAGACATATGCCAAGCTAAAGATGTATCATTTGTTTGAATTCTAGATCATAACAAATCTATGGTAACAAGTTATTTAGAACATTGCACTGCCCTCCACCCCCAGTGCTGGTGGGAGTTGAGTTGACTGAAGTTACACTGGGGCCCTTACATGGGATGTAGATGTTCCTTCTCTTGATAGGTAAAGAAGTTACATGGAAGTATGCATTTATCAACACTCACAATATATGAGTTTTACTCAATCATAGAAAGTTAAAACTGACTGACTAGAAATGATAATGAAGGAATCTATCAATAGTTCTACCAAATCACCACGTTAGCTAATTTGTATAAAAATTTTTTGAGTGAGCTGACACTCGATGAGTTCTTCTGATGTGCCTTCGCTATAGCGTATTACAATTGTGCTTGTGCTTGTGTGTGTGTGTGTGTGTGTATGTTTCATTCATGTGTACATTCTCCCAGGAAAGAGACTCTATATCATACTCTTAATGGTTGGCAACATGGGTCTCTCTGATCATCTATTCAACACATCTACAGTATGAGCAAAGCAGCATCAGGATCTAGGTGCCTGTACAAAGCTTGAATAAACACTATAAATGCAGAAGGGTCAAGAGGTTTCAGCACCAATACACTCTAGGAGTCAGATAGAAATGCAGGGCCTGGGGCTTACCAAGCAATCAGAAGTTCCACGAGCATGTCGAGACATCTGCATATGCGTAAGGTATCCAGGTGATTTGGATGCATGCCCAGGTTAGACTACTTCCCAACAGAGAAGTGATATAATAATTCAAGAAGGTCAAATTTGTCAAAAAAATCTACAGACATTTGGGATCACTTCCAAAAATTAGTGACATGGGTTTCTCTAGTCTGGAAGTCAGTTCTGAGGAGATGTATATAATAATTAGTTGATATATTTGGCTTCAATGAAGTAATACATTTAACTCATAAGATTTAAAGAAAATTAAAATGAGACTATGTCTTCAAGTACCTAAGAGATCAGAAAGAGAGAGACAACACACACATACAAGACACTAATCCAGCAATTTAAGAAATTATGTGACAATGTCGTAACACCAATCAGATGACTTTCCTGCCAGCATTTAGAAATACAGGACATGATGCAAAGTCTGAAGTGACCAGAAAAACCCATTACATGGATAGAGAGGTCACTAACATCACTAGTATATGGACCAATATCCCCTTCCTCATTGCTCACAAAATGATCCAGTTAAAAGAATGTTTTTCTCCCACCCGAAACAGGCTAAATTATCAGCTGGGCTTCTTTCCCATTTGAGGAAATGCATACTAATATATGACTGTCCAACTCTCCTTGAGTGAGAGGTTGCAGGGAGAGAGTGGAGAATGTAATTTAAACACAAAGTATCACATGACAGTGCTGGTGGTGTGTGTGTGTGTGTGTGTGTGTGTGTGTGTGTGTGTGTGCGCGCGCGCATGTGCATGCAATAAAGACACTGTGTTCTGGAAGATTCTACCCAGTGTGAGTCAGGAGGAAAACCAGATCAGTAGAATGGATTAGGATTACAACTAATGAGACAAGACAATATTTTCTCTGCCAAATTAAACCATAATGCAAACAAACATTATTGTACAATCTGATCATCGCTTCTCTATTCAGTAAACAAAAAATAAGGAAAACGTACTGACAACAGGAACATGGACAGAGAATATAAGAACATTTCTAAACTCCAGTCCTTTAGTCTCCTGGACACCCACCCCAAACCTCCATCCTCTGACACCGTGGTCAACTCCTGCTCTCAGGAGGGCTACTGCCAGCCTAGCTGCCTGCAGACCACCTGCTGCCGCCCCAGCTGCTGCATCTCCAGCTGCTGCCGCCCCAGCTGTGGAGGCTCCAGCTGCTGCCGGCCCTGCTGCTGCCTGCGTCCAGTGTGT